GAGTCCCTTCCTGGTGCCACAGGCCCAGCACCACCCCAGTTCCCCCTCCCGCTGTCCTCAGCCCTGGAGAGGAAGGAAGGGGATGATGGTGAGCTCACCTTCAACGAAGAGCAGTGGGCCAGGCTGAGGGAGGCCAGCTGGGATGGAGCCCCGTGCACAGAGCCCAGGGCCTGGGCCAGTTCCCGCCCTCTCACCAGGCAGCACTCGGCCATGTTGAGGCTCTGCAGCTCCCGCAGGCCACCCAGAGCTGTACATCCTGCATCTGTCAGCCGCTGCAGCTTCCCCAGGCTCAGGCGCCGCAGGTGCCGCAGGCCCCGGCTCACAGCCAAGAGCGCCCCATCAGTCAGTTCTGAGCAGCCGCTGAGGTCCAGGGAGGTAAGGCCTGGTTGCTGGAAGCACAGGGTAGCCACAGCCTCTGTGGAGAGGTCCCGGCAGCTGTGCAGGCTCAGCTCCTGCAGTTGCAGCCCAGCTACCCGGCCCAGGGCCTGCAGGGCCTCGGGTGGTAAGCCAGTGCCACTCAGGTCCAGGGCACGCAGCCTGCCAGCCCGCTCTTGCACAAATCGCAGCAGGTTGCGGAAGGAGAACTGGGAGGGAGAGGAGTCTTGGGGGCTGATGGAGCCTCGGACTGGGCCTAGCTCGAAGGTGAGGTGGCAGTATGCCAAGGAGAGGCGCTCCAGGCTGGGGGCACAGCTGCTGAGCCGGTTGAAGCTGAGGTCAGCCAGGTCTCGCAGGCCAGCCAGGTTGAGCTCACGGAGGCCGCTCAAGGCCTGCCGGACGCTCTGTGCCATCTCGGGCTGAGCCAGCAGTGTGCCAGAGGTGAAGAGGCTGTTGCAGCCACTGAGATCAAGGACACACAGGGCTGGGCATCCCAGGATCAGGGCCACAAAGGAGGCCTCTGTGGGGCTGCCTCCACCCAGGGACAAGCTCTGCAGGTGTGGGCCCAGGTGGTAAGCAACAGACTGTAGCACCTGGTGCGAAGCCGGAGAGCCATCCACGTTGGTCAGGCTGATGCAGCAGATGCCCCTGAGGCCCAGGCTCTTGATGGCCGAGAGGGAGGCAGACGACACTGGGATGTTGTATCGCACATCTGTCTATGGAGCAGCAGCAGGCCTGGGGGTAGTCCTCTGGCTTCAGAGGGTGCTGGGCATTGGGTTTGGTGACAAGTCACTGGCCAGAGGTTGAGGGCAGGTCAAGGAAGGGCTCTTCCACAACGGGGACCCATCGTGGTGTGTGGTATCATGTGTGGTCAAGTTGGGCATGGGTAGGAAGTGGGAGCTGAGGTTCAAATGAGATGACCATCAGAGGAAGGCGGGAAGGTTAGTGATGGATAGGATGGGATGCTGAGGGAGGGGCGGGGACAGAGTGGGGAGTTGGCATGCTGAGCACAGGAGGGCTGAGATGGGACCTAGAGGAAACCCAGTGAAGTCCCCAGGGCATGGGAGGGCAAAGTATGCCAGACCCCAACCTTTGGGACTTTCAGAAGGAGGCCCTGAGATCCATGGACTCAGCCTCCTACTCCAGGGACTTGACATGAGCTAAGCAGCCAGCTTCCCAACTTTCTAGAGAGGATAGCCCTCTGAAGAGTGGAAGGCGAGAGAAGTGAGGTAGGTGTCACTCACCACAACCCTCTATGGCCCAGGTGACAGAGGTCTGGGGCAGGCAGTGAGGCCTAAGTCCCCTGGTGGCCTGAGAGAGTCTGTCACATGAATGTTTGCAAAATGTATTCTCTGTTTAAGCAAAATGTGAAAACTGTATTCTGTGTTTAAGCAAAAATGTGTGCATGTGCATATATGTGTATGTGTCTGTGTATGTATGTGCATGTGCATGTGTGTGCATAGAGCTGCCTGGTATTGGGCCCTGGATGCTCCAGCATTCAAGATGTGCTTGTGATCCCTGCAGCATATCTCCGGAGAGGACATCTTATCTGTCAAGGTAAGGACACTGAAGCCTCCCATTTCCGTGCATGGGAGCTAACAGAACACACCTCACCCGTGCCAAGGAAATTGAGCTGGCTGTGCGTAGAGAAACAGGGGAGTGAGAATGGGGAGTGTACAGTTGGAGCCGGGTGGGACCCAAGAGACAAGCTCAGGGCTACATGGTGGGAATAAGTTGGCTTGTGCAGGCATTTAGGAGCTCCCAGCTAAGGAGATATCTTCAAATAACTTTTCCTGATATTGCACTGGAGTGAGCCAAAGGGAAACTGGTAAAATTTGTGTAGAACAGATCTTTGGGGAGAGGGAGAGGAGGGCTTGGATTCTAAAATCCTTGCCCCATCTCCCTACCTCTTGCCCATGTTACAGGCAAGTGGTACTCAAAGAGGGCTCTTGTATGAATCAACATGGTCCTGATGCAGAAAAGAAAGCTCCCCTAAACCTGTCTTGTCAGTAACTGCAAAAACAACCTGCTGTTCCCTGCTGGTACCCCACAGACCATCATCAAAAGGGAATCCAGGCCAGGCATGGTGGCTCACACCTGTAATCCCAGCACTTTGGGAGGCTGAGGCGGGTGGATCACTTTAGGTCAGGAGTTTGAGACCAGCCTGGCCAACATGGTGAAACCCCATCTCTACTAAAAATACAGAAATTAGACTGGGCGCGGTGGCTCACTCCTGTAATCCCATTACTTTGGGAGGCCAAAGCAGGCAGATCACGAGGTCAGGAGATCGAGATCATCCTGGCTAACATAGTGAAACCCCATCTCTACTAAAAATGAAAAAAAAAATAGCCGGGCATGGTGGCAGGCGCCTGTAGTCCCAGCTACTTGGGAGGCTGAGGCAGGAGAATGGCGTGAACCCGGGAGGCGGAGCTTGCAGTGAGCCGAGATTGCACCACTGCACTCCAGCCTGGGCAACAGAGCAAGACTCCATCTCAAAAAAAAAAAACAAAAACAGGAATGCAAAAAGTAGAAGTGACTCACAGGATGTGCTCCTGCAAGATGCTTATCAACAGGATTCTCCTAAGAAACACAGGACTCATTCCCAGGTGTGGAGAGACCAGCCTGGCTTCTGCCAGAGAGAAGTGGCACCCATGGCTGTAATGACAGGAAGGAGCAGTGTAAGAGACAGGAACCAGCTCCTGGCCTCTTTCACAGGAACCAGGGGTCAGCCAGGTTCCCCTTCCAGCCCCTACTTCTGGAACATGGTCATTCCAGATGAGAGGGGCACTCACCACAGGTCTCCTTGTGGGCAGTGGATCAGGGATCTCAGGTGAAAGGGAGGCTGGGAAGATCCCACTGTGTGAGGGTGGAGAGGGCAATAAAACATCAGAGAGGAATGGAGGGCATACCTCCAGCCATTCCCAAGCCCTGCAGGCTAGACAACTCCATCGGATGCAGATGAGAGGAAACTAGCTGGGGCAGCTGGGGCAGAGCTGGCTGTGAGGCAGCACCTCCTTCCCCAACTCACACATCACTGAGGAACCCCTGAAAGTCCTGCAGGTCCCAGCTCCGGCGGCACAGCACCTTCAGGGGCTCAGCCTGACTTCTTTCCTTCCCTTCATTCTGGAGCCTGGCTGGCCAGGAAGGGTCTCTTCTCTCCCACTGCCTCCCTATGAACCAGGCGGACAAAAGACCTTGGAAGGCTCTGGCAGTGCCCCCAGGGCCCAAGTCCAGGGCTGGCTCCTGGCAGCAAGGCCACCTGATAAAGAAGCACGGCTTGGTTTAAAGGACTTCTAGCTCTGGGGGTACAGAAGAGGCTTGAGACCATTTCCGGGCCCCACCGTTTTTGCTGGTGGGATGGGAGCAGCCTCTAAGCCACCTCAGAGGTGCCTCCTAAGGTCTGCTCCTGAGGTCACCTGCTCCTGAGGTCACGTGGATTTAAAACTGCAGGAGTTGGCTGGGTGTGGTGGCTCACTCCTATAATTCCAGCACTTTGGGAGGCCAAGGCAGGTGGATCACAAGGTCAGGAGTTCGAGACCAGCCTGGCCAACATGGCGAAACCCTATCTCTACTAAATATACAAAAATTAGCTGGGTGTGGTGGCAGGAGCTTATAATCCCAGCTACTCGGGAGGCTGAGGCAGAAGAATTGCTTGAACCCGGGAGGCGGAGGTTGCAGTGAGCTGAGATCGTGCCACTGCACTCCAGCCTGGGCAACAGAGCAAGACTCCAGCTTAAATAAATAAATAAATCACCTGCCGGAGCCCAGGAACATCCTTTCAGGGATATTTCTCTGTGTGAGGGCACAGCAGCAGGCTGAAGCAGGCCTTCTGGGTTCTGGACTTTGGCCCTGGTATAGGACACCCCCTTCCTGGGCCCTGGGAAGATGCTTCTAGACCCACCCAAAGAGGACTGCATGGCCACATGCTCTAGCTCTAGCTGCCCCATCTACAGAGGGAGAACCTTGCCCCCTGGTGTCCTCCCTTCCTGATGCTGGCCTCTTAAGAGTAATCGCTGGCTGGGCATGGTGGCTCATGCCTGTAATCCCTGGACTTTGCCCCAAGGCGGGCAGATCACTTGAGGTCAGGAGTTCAAGACCACCCTGGCCAACATGGTGAAACCCCATCTCTACTAAAAATACAAAAAAGCCAGGCATGGTGGCAGATACCTGTAATCCCAGCTACTCTGGGGGCTGAGGCAGGAGAATCTCTTGAACCTAAGAGGCGGAGGTTGCACTGAGCCGAGATCCTGCCACTGCACTCCAGCCTGGGTGACAGTGCGAGACTCCATCTCAAAAACAAAAAACAAAAAACAAAAAACAAAAAAAAAGAAAAAAAAAAAGAGTAATCGCAAAATCATTTGGGAAATGCTCTGAATCTGCTACAAGTGATGTATGTGCCTTTTTTTTTTTGAGACGGAGTCTAGGTCTGTCGCCCAGGCTGGAGTGCAGTGGCCGGATCTCAGCTCACTACAAGCTCCGCCTCCCAGGTTTACGCCATTCTTCTGCCTCAGCCTCCCGAGTAGCTGGGACTACGAGCGCCCGCCACCTCGCCCGGCTAGTTTTTTTTATTTTTAGTAGAGATGGGGTTTCACCGCGTTAGCCAGGATGGTCTCGATCTCCTGACCTCGTGATCCGCCCGTCTCGGCCTCCCAAAGTGCTGAGATTACAGGCTTGAGCCACCGCACCCGGCCTGATGTATGTACCTTGTCTGTGGGAGACCAGGGTTTTGTTTTACCTAGTGAAGCCCTGAACTGAGACTGCAGGCCTGTGTACAGACTTGGAAAGCCATGTGACAGAGAAAATGGCCCTTCATCCTGCCTAATATAGGACTCCAAAGCTACCATGCCTGTTCTCCAGGAGGCCGTTGGGAAATGTATGCCCTGGCACCCAGGGCATTGGTCTTTAGAGAGGAGTCAGACTGGTGGGTCATACAGAGGCTGCTCCAGGACTTCATCAATCCCTCCGGAAGGGGAGGGCGCAAAGAGCTCTCTTCAGCTATTGCTTCATGGGGACCAACCAGCAGCAGGTAGCCAGGGCTCCCCACAGGAACGGACAGGGCCGGTGTATATGGAGGGTGCTGCCTTTGCCGGCATCCTTATTTGAGAAAATTGGGATTAAGGGAACAGCTGGGACTGGTCAGGGACAGTAAGTCCCCAAGACCAGTGTCCTACCCTAGCTGGGCCTGTGTCTTCCATAGCACCTAACTGGCACCTAACTGGTACTGCCTCAGTATCCACCTGCCCATGCCTGAGCCCTGGGAGATGGTTCCTGCCTGCAGGGTCCCGCAGGTGCTCTCAGGCACATGGTAGGGGTGATGCCAGGTACCTGTGGCCTGGCTTCCCAATGCTCCCAGCCTAGGTGGGGCTGAGTTTTGCAGAGGCACTAAAGGGTCTTTGTCAACATTCCTTTTTTCTTTTTCTTGTTTTTGGTTATCCCAAGGCTCTGTCATCTGTCTCTGTCCGCATTCTATCTGGAGAGCATAGTTGGCTGGAGCAGCTCCCGCTCTAAAACACTGACTCTGGCTTCCATCTCCTTCCTCCAGCCCTCACCCACTCCAATCCTATCTGCGCCTCAGGGCCTGGCTGCCCCCCTTAGGCTCCTCTGACTGCCCCGTCTTTGCTGGGCTCCATGAGGCTTTGCCTGTGATGACATCTCCTCGGGGTCCTTGTTGCCCTGCCTCAGTCATGCTGCTGTACCCATTCTCCTGGCCCGGCCAGGACTGGTGAGACCAGCTGCCTCCTCTGAGTCTGTACCAGGGATACAGAACTCCGCCCAGGAAGTCATGGCCTCCTTGCTCACTTCCCACCCCAGACAAGTTTTCTCTCCAAGCCCCTCCCACTCCAGCTCCTGGCCCTACTGATACACCCTCCCTCACCCAGGATTCTCAGAGATGGCCATCAAGTGGGAAGTCCCTCCCTTTCCCCTGTTCATGTCCACCAGCTGCCTCCAGGCAGGGCCCATCTGAACTTTCCTCCTTCTCCTGCTCTTTTGCTTCCAGAAGACCTCTTCTGGCCTCCTTTACCCACTGCACCTCCTCTGAGAACCCTGCTGTTTCTTCCTTTCCACTGCTCCTTCTTCAGAGGCCACAAACACCCCAGAGTCTTAAACTGCAAATAAAAGCCTCCTTTCATCCTGCACCCCCTCCTCTTGTCTCTCCTCTCTCCCCTCCCTCTACAGCCACACTTCTTGGAAGCACACAGGCACAGGCATGCCTGCTGTCCGGCCACTTGTTGCCCTTCGCCTCACCTGCTCACTCCTCCACCTTGGTCCCCACAGGATCATGCATTCCTGGCAATGGCTCCCTTCCAGCAAGGTCACCAACATGTGGGGGCTTCACCTCAGACCTCCCACCAGGGATCTCTCTGCCATGTCTCCTGCTCTGCATGGCCAGCAACCACTCCCCTTGATGCCGTCTCCCACTGGGGTTCTGCAACTCTGCCCTCCTGGCTTTCCTGCTACCTTCTAGCCTGCTCCTCTTCAGGCTCTTTTGGGGTCAGCAAAGAACAGAGATCCAGTCCACAGATGAGTGGGTTCCCCGTGGTTTGTTCCACCCAACAACACACATACATGTGTGCACGCGCATATATGCACACGATCTTTGCGACCCTCCAAGTGTACCCTGGCCAACTGCATTTCGCCCCATGGGGCCATCATTCCAACTACTATCTTTCCGATCCACATCATTTTCCTGAACACCAGACCCTGGGAGCCAAGAGCCTGATTGACCTCTCTCCAGAGGGAGATGCGGCATGCCCAAATCTGAATTCATCACCCCATCCTCCAACTCTGCTCCTTCTAAACTCTCCCCACCCTCTATTCAGTCACCCAAGTGGGAAATTTGAGAGTGATTCTAGAATCCTCCCTCACTCCCCACATCCACAATAACCCAAGTCCCTTCTACTCTGTTTTCCTAATATGGTGCAATCAATCTGTCCCTCTGCTCCAATCTCACTGCTTCTGCCCAGTTGAGGTCCCCTTACTCTAAGCTCAGATGATGCCAGCTTCCTCCTTATCAGGTCCTGGCCTCCAGTTTCTCTGGCTCCAATCCACCCTGGGTTTTGTCACCAGGTGACCCTTCCAAAAGGCGATTCTGCCTGTGCTTTCCAGACCCTCTGCCAGTTCCGCACACCTCCGGGACACAGGCTAAGCTTCCTAAGCAAGCATTCAAGCCCTTCTAGGACCCAGGGCTTCAGTCAAGCTCTTCCCAAGCCCGTTCCCTTTCCTCCTAGTCCTGGTTCTGAGGCTGCCACTTCTGACCACTGTCCTGTACTGCACGCCTCTGCTCAGCTGCTTTTTCTGTTCTAGGGGGTCCCACCCCTCACCTTCTCCTATTGGTCTATTTGGCGAATGTTTATTACTCTCTCGAGTCTCAGGCCAAACACCTCCTTCTCCATGGAGTCTTTTCTGATCTTTTCTCTGCACCCATGATGTACCTCACACAGACTTCAAATGCAGCACCCCAGCCTCTTTTGACTCATCTGTGCTCACTACACACTCCCCAGCCCTGTGCCTTCCTCAGTTTTGCCTTGCCAGTGCCCAGCACAGTGCCTGGCACAGCAGAAACACTTGAGAAAGGCTGCCCACACACTCTCCATGTGTCTCTGGTAATTTTCCATCTTCCTCCTGTCCTGTGACTGCTCCAGTCCTCTCTGCTGAAGCCCTGACCTCTATGTCTCTTTTCACTCTCCTCCTGAGACAACCTGGTCTCCAAATCCACTGAGCAAAGGGGCTGCTGAGGAAGGAGCCGCCTCTGAGGAACTTCTCTGCAAATAGCTCCATGTTTCCACTCCCACCTCTCTGCTTCCTCAGGAAGAGGTGACATCCTTTTTTCCACCAAACTGATGCTGAAAAAACAAAAAAGAAACACACACACACACACACACACACACACACACACACACAAAACAAAAAACGGAAGAGGTGATATCCTCTCCATCCTATCCCAGACAAGCTTGGTATATGGAAGCCTGTCCCTGCCACCATCTTCCACACCTGACCTCTTTCCTCCCCCAAACTTCAAACTTCACCCCTCTTCTAGTGACTCCCTGAAGCATTTATTTATTTATGTATTTAATTTATTTATTTACTTTTTTTTTTGAGACAGAGTCTCGCTCTGTCACCCAGGCTGGAGTGCAGTGGCACGATCTCAGGTCACTGCAACCTCCTCCTTCCAGGTTCAAGCAATTCTCTGCCTCAGCCTCTTGAGTAGCTGGGATTACAGGTGCCTGCCACCACGCCCGGCTAACTTTTTTGTATTTTTAGTAGAGACGGGGGTTTCACTATCTTGGCCAGGATGGTCTTGAACTCCTGACCTTGTGATCCACCCGCCTTGGCCTCCCAAAGTGCTGGGATTATAGGCGTGAGCCACCGCGCCTGACCTCTTTTTTTTCGAGACGGAGTCTCGCCCAGGCTGGCTGGAGTGCAGTGGCACGATCTCGGCTGACTGCAAGCTCCGCTTCCTGGGTTCATGCCATTCTCTTGCCTCAGCCTACCGAGTAGCTGGGACTACAGGTGAACGCCACCACACCCAGCTAATTTTTTGCACCTTTTTTTTTTTTTTTAGTAGAGATAGGGTTTCACTGTGTTAGCCAGGATGTTTTTGTTTTGATTTGTTTTGTTTTGTTTGTTTTTTGAGATGGAGTCTCGCTGTGTTGCCCAGGCTGGAGTGCAGTGACACAATCTCAGTTCACTGCAACCCCCGCCTCCCAGGTTCAAGCGATTCTCCTGCCTCAGCCTCCCGAAGAGCTGTGATTACAGGCATGCGCCAACATGCCCAGCTAATTTTTATATTTTTAGTAGAGATGGGGTTTCACCATGTTGGCCAGGGTGGTCTCAAACTCCTGACCTCAAGTGATCTACCCGCCTTGGCCTCCCAAAGTGCTGGGATTACAGGTTTGTGCCACTGCACTGGACCACCCTGAAGCTTTATTTATTTATTCATTTATTTATAGACAGGGTCTTGCTCTGTCACCCAGGTTGGAATGCGGTGGTGTGATCTCTGCTCGCTGAAACCTCTGCTTCCCAGGTTCAAGAGATTCTCATGCCTCAGTCTCCCGAGTAGCTGGGATTACAGGTACGCACCACTGCGCCTGGCTAATTTTTGTATTTTTAGTAGAGATGGGGTTTCAACTTGTTGGCCAGACTGGTCTTGAACTCCTGGCCTCAAGTGATCCACCAGCCTCAGCCTCCCAAAGTACTGGGATTACAGGTGTGAGCCACTGCGCCCAGTCTCCCTGATAAATCCAAACACATTTCAGATTTCTCCAGAAGAGAATCCTTTTGTCAAATCCATCTAAACTTCTCATTTCTGCCCTATTTCTTTTTCTCTCTCTCTCTTTTTTTTTTTTTTTTTTGAGAAGGAGTCTCTTTCTGTCACCCAGGCTGGAGTGAAGTGGAGCAATCTCAGCTCACTGCAACCTCCACCCCTGGGTTCAAGTGATTCTCCTGCCTCAGCCTCCAGAGTAGTTGGGATTATAGGCACCCACCACCATGCCTAGCTAATTTTTGTATTTTTAGTAGAGGGGGTTTTGCCATGTTGTCCAGGCTGGTCTCAAACTCCTGACCTCAGGTGATCCACTTGTCTTGGCCTCCTAAAGTTCTAAGATTACAGGTGTGAGCCACTGTGCCTGGCCTGCACTATTTATTTCCTTCTTTCCATGGAGAAATTTCTTGCCAACGAGGTCATGCTCTACACTTCCTACTTCTCTCATTCACTCCTCAATCCACCTGGCTTTTTCTTCAGATGCCAAATACCGCTGAAGCCATTGGTGGCCTCCTTGGATAACAAATCTCATGGACACTATTTGTTCTTCATTTTGCTGGGCTTTTTGTGGGATCTGACGTTGTTAATCATCCATTCAATCCTTTATTTATGTATTTATTTTTTTGAGACTGAATCTCGCTCTGTCGCCCAGGCTGGAGTACAGTGGCTAGATCTTGAATCACTGCAACCTCCACCTCCCTGTTTCAAGAGATTCTCCTGCCTCAGCCTCCTGAGGAGTTGGGACTACAGGCGTGAGCCATCACATCTGGCCTCATTCAATCCTTTAAATGCTCTCCTGCCTTTGATGTCTGTGCCCTCCTCTCTCTGGGATCTCCTCATTCCCCTCTTTGGGTGTCTCCTCCTTTCTGTGCCCTTGAACTTGTGTCCTCCCCTGGGGCTTCTCTGTGGCCTGCACTTCTGTGGCTCTGCATGTTCTCTCTGGGGAAAGTTACTCAGATCTGTGGCTTCAACTGCCACCCATTCTTTAATGACACCCAAATCTATATTTATTACCCAGACATTTCTCTTGAATTCCTCACTCAGAAATGCAACTACCAAGTGGATCTCAACATCTAGATCCTCACACTTCAAACTTTTAACATGTCCAAAATCAAATTCCTTTGGACAATGAGATCAATGACACTGTATAAACAGAATCTACTTATATACCCATATTTAATATGGGATAGAGGATTCCAACCAGAGAAGGAGAAGATTAGATGTAAATGGTGTTTGGGCTCTTTGAAAATTAATCAGTTTAGCTTCTTACCTCATAACATAAATCTAAATAAATTTTACTAATAAAAACTTTAACACAAAAATTCAAACCAGAAAGCAGAAGAGACAGTTTTGCTGTAAACCTAAAACCGCTCTAAGTAATAGAGTCTATTTAAGAAAAACAGAAGAACAGTATAACAGGACAAGGAATCATTAAGTTTAGAAAACAATGGAAGAAGTAAAAAAGAAAAGGATGTTCAGAATCAACAACAGAGAAATTTAACTTCTGGGCCAGGCATGGTGGCTCATGCCTGTAATCCCAGCACTGTGGGAAGCTAAGGTGGGCAGATCTCTTGAGCCCAGGAGTCTGAGATGAGCCTGGGCAACATGGTGAAATCTCGTCTCTGCTAAGAATGTAAAAATTAGCCGGGCGTGGTGACACGCATCTGTAGTCCTAGCTACTCAGGAGGCTGAGGTGGAAGGATCACCTGAGCCTGGTGAGGTCGAGGCTGCAGTGAGCTGTGACTGCGCGCTGCACTCTAGCCTTGGCAATAGAGCAAGACCCTTTCTCAAAAACAAACAAATGAAATTTTTAAAAAATTAAATTAAAAATTAAATTAAATTTTAAAAAAGAGGCCAGGTGCAGTGGCTCACACCTGAAATCCCAGCACGTTGGGAGGCCAAGGCAGGTGGATGACTTGAGGTCAGGAGTTTGAGACCAGCCTGGCCAACATGGTGAAACCCCGTCTCTACTAAAAATACAAAAATTAGCCAGGCATGGTGGCGAGCACCTGTAATCCCAGCTACTTGGGAGGCTGAGGCAGGAGAATTCCCAGCACGTTGGGAGGCCAAGACGGGCGGATCATGAGGTCAGGAGATGGAGACCATCCTGGCTAACACGATGAAACCCCGTCTCTACTAAAAATAGAAAAAATTAGCCGGGCGCGGTGGCGGGCGCCTGTAGTCCCAGCTACTCGGAAGGCTGAGGCAGGAGAATCGCCTGAACCCAGAAGGCGGAGGTTGCAGTGAGCTGAGATCACGCCACTGTACTCCACCCTGGCAACGGAGCGAGACTCCATCTCAAAGAATAAATAAATACAAATAAAAAAAGAAGCCAGGCACAGTGGCTCACGTCTGTAATCCCAGCACTTCGGGAGGCCAAGGGGGTGCAGATCACTTGAGGTCTGGAGTTCGAGACCAGCCTTGCCAACATGGCAACACCCCATCTCTACTAAAATACAAAAATTAGCTGGGTGTGGTGGCACACACCTGTAATCCCAGCTACTTGAAAGGCTAAGGCATTAGAATCACTTGAACCTGGGGAAGCAAACGGTTTCAGCGAGTCCTGAATGGTGCCACTGTACTCCAGCCTTGGGGCGGACAGAGTGGACTCTTTGTCTTTCGGAGAAAAAAAAATGTGTTGTATACTATATATTTAGTTACATTACACACACACACACCGCACACTAATTAGGTAGAATATATATATTAAATACTAAAGAAATTTAATTCCGTATTCTCATAAATGAAAAGCACATATCTACGAAATCAAATTAAAAGGGCAACGAATACTAAAAAAAGGGAAGGTATATTTACGAGCCAGGGGGATGGTGGCTCGATGCACCTGCTAATCTCAGCCCACTTTAGGAGGCCAAGGCGGAGGCAGTCATTTGAAGTCAGAGTTATGAGGACCAGGCCTGGCCGAACATGAGGAAAAACCCCGGTCTTCTACTAAAAATTACAAAAACTTAGCCAGCATGGGTGCGAAGCACCGTGTAATCCAGCCTAACTTGGGAGGCTGAGAGGCAGGAGAGATTGCTGAGGCGGAGTAGGTGCTTGCGCAGTGACGCTGCAGATGGCCGCCACTGCACCCCAGCCTGGGTGGAGCAGCAGTCGAAGACTCGCATCTCAAAAAAATAAATTAGCCTGCGCATGCTGCGCAGGTGTCTGGTAATCCCAGCTTAACTTGGAGGCTGAGCAGGAGAACTGCTTGAACCCAGGAGGCAGAGCCTGCCAGTGAGCCAAGATTAGTGCCACTGCATCCAGCCTGGCGCAAACAGAGCGAGATCTATCGCTCCAAAAAAAAAAAAAAGAAAGAAAGAAAAGAAAAAAGGAAAAGTCCATACAAATGGAACAGAAAAATACTAAGACCTTAATAGTTAAATGGATACAGAACATGAATAAACAAAAGGGGGAAAGACGAAGGGTGAGCTAATGAGAAAAACAGTGCAACCTCACTAATAAACAAATCAAAATTAAAACAATGAGCCATCACTGCCTGCCTTTTAAACTAGCCCAGATGTCTGCATTCACCTCCTGGCTGGCCTCCTCCCTATGCTGTCTCACTCTCCCAGTCCATTCTGCATTGCAGAGTTCTAATACAAATCACGCTGTGTCACTTGCCTGCCTAACGGGCTCCTTGATGGTCACCAGGAGAAAGCCAAACTCTGCTGCCTGGCACATCTGCCAGCTTGCAGCCTGACCCCATTCTAGCCTCGTCTCCTGCCATGTCTCACTCAGTTCCAGCCACACGGAATTTGTGCGATTGTTTCCAGAACTATTCCACACCATGGTGCCTTCACTTGTGCTATTATTGATCACAGAGCTCAACTTTTCTTCTCACCCTGTTCCTTCAGAAAGCCTTCCCTGATGCTGCCAGTCTCCTCTGGATGTCCTTCTTCATGTTCCGTCAAACCCTTTTTTTCTGAGGCAGAGTCTCACTCTCTTGCCCAGGCTAGGGTACAGTGGCATGATCTCGGCTCACTGCAATCTCTGCCTCCCGGGTTCAAGCCATTCTCCTGCCTCAGCCTCCTGAGTAGCTGGAACTACAGGCGCACGCCATGCCACCACGCCCAGCTAATTTTTGTAATTTTAGTAGAGACAGCGTTTCACCATATTGGTCAGGCTGGTCTCAAACTCCTGACCTCAGGTGATCCATGTGCCTTGGCCTCCCAAAGTGCTGGGATTATAGGCGTGAGCCACTGTGCCCGGCCGTCCCCTTCAAACTGTTTCTTCCCAGTGTCATAGCACTGAGCACACAATAGCATGATCATTCATATTACTTGTCTTTCTCCTTCACTGGATTGTGAGCTCCTTAGGGAACTGTGTCTTATTCATCTGTGTAGCCCTAGCACTGTACCGAGAGCCAAGTACATATGAATGTATGTATACATGTGCATATATGAGCATATATGGATGGATGGATGGATGGATGGATGGATGAATGGATGGATGGAAACATATGAGCAGGGCCACAAGTAAGCTGAAGTGAGAAACACCCGAGGGTGGGACGGGGGAGGGTGGGTGCCTTACCTCCCGAAGGGCATTCTGGGCAGCACGGTACCAAGCCCAACTCACGAGGGAGGCCTCTTTCTGATCTGACAGAGGCAGGAAGCTCAGAATATATGTGAGCATCTGAGGGGAAAAGACAGGGCATTGGGGACTGTCAGAGCTGGGAGGTCTTTGGAACCGACTCCAGCTGATAGCACCATGGGTCTGAGGGCACCAGAGCACTGGCTTCTATTTTATCTTGGACGTGAAGTTTCACAAAGCATTCACTTCCCCGCTCCAGGCTTCAGGTATCTTTCCTGTGAACAAACCTTTCCTGAGCTGGGTGAAGGCTTTCACTGACTGATAACAGTCAAACTTCCCACCTAGCTGAGTAGAAAAAGCCTGGGCACTGAGGCCAGATAAACCTAGTTCAACTCTCTACTCTGCCAACTGACCTCTAGAACTTTGTTTTCCTTATCTGCGAAATGGCAATTGTAGTGAGATTTAAATGGGTTATTGTGAGAATTAAAGAACACAGTCAAGTGTCTTGCATAGGACTTAGAGCACAGCAGGCCAGGTGTGCTCACTCTAGTCCTCAGGAAGTCATGCTTGGTCCTCCTGCCCTCATGGCTCAGGCTCTGGGACCCTGCTCTTTTTCCATCCTCTCCACTGCCACCATGCCCTCTCCACTGGTTGTTAAGATGCGATCCCAGCAAGACCTAGATTGGGAGGCTCAGGCCTTTCCCCCACCTAGGGGGTGGTGAGGTTCAAGGTCCTAAATGGGACTGGGGAAGGGGTTGCCAGTGAGGTCTAGAATGATTTGATATTAAATATTTTTTTCTTCTGGAATCTTCCTCCCTGCATCCCAATTGCCTCGTTTTTGGATTCTTCTGTGGCTCCCAGGGCTCAGACCCGGGTCTTTTGGTTTTCTGTTTACCAACACAGGAATAACCAACAATTCAATATTCCCATATTGTCCTATTATCCAAGTGCTAGTCCATATTGCCAATCGTCCATGCAAATGTTTAGCCATCACTTTAATCTCAACCAAAACTCATATTCTACCCTCCGCCCCAAACAGCCCCTCCTCCCAAATTCCCCTTTCAATGCCAACAGTGCATCTACCTGATAACACTTTCTACTATTCAAACCCCTCTGTCCCTTGCTCCCAGATACAGGTGTAATGCACAGGCTTTAGGCCAGGCTAACCTAGACTCATTCAAATTCCAGCTCCACTACTTCCTGTCATGCTGCTGTGTGACCTTAAACAAGGTATTTGACCTGTCTGAGTTTGTTTCTATATCTATAAAATAGGGATACTTTTTAAAAATCTAGATCATAGCCTCATGGGGATTAAATTTTACATATATATAGTGTGTGTGTGACAACTAGATGTTCCATAAATGGTTGCTGGATTGCTGTTACTAAAATTTCTACTTTTGCAACTTTCCCACCTCAGTAGCTCAGATTTCTACCACCTCAAACCTTGATTCCTTCCACAATGTCCCACCTGAACTCTTTACCTCCAAGTTCATCCTTGCTAATACATTATGCACACTGTCACAAGGTTAATTTTTCCTATAAAACAGTTTTCAGTGTCAGCTCACCCCTGCTGTAAAACTTCAGGGTTCACCAGTACTCTCAGGACAGTCTTCACTCCTGGATCAGCACTGCCAGGTCTCTGTGCCTGATTGGACTCGCTGGTCCCCAAACTTCCCCAATCCAGTCTCCCTACTGCCCTACAAACATAGCATATCTATTTCCTTTTGCCTATGCGGGCCTTTTCCCTGGGATCCCCTTCCTGAAGCTTGACTTCACCAACCCATTGTGATCTCTCCTTCCCTTCTCAGATGCCAAGCACGCAGGCACAGTGCTCAGCCAGTGCTTACTGGATTAAATTAAGGTTGGGCAGTCCAGTCCTCTACCTCTATTTTCACCAAGAGTATGCTCAGGGAAGGGGTCAGGGAAATAAAAGTAATCATTACTGAGAGGACAATGACTGGGAGAATAGAATTCTGAGCCAGGGAGGCTAGGCATAGGGAAGACAGTATTGATGGGGACTGGGACTGACCATGTCCCAATCCCTCCAGGGAGGCAGGGAAGCCTGTTTGAGCTGAGTTAAGACAGTGGCCATCTTGTCTTCTGGGGCTAAGCAGCCAGCCCAAGAGCAAAGGGAGAGGGGAACAAACCTGTCATCCCTTGGGGTGAGTGGGGGAGGGACACAATTCATTGACCTAAGAAGAGGGTGGCCTTTCTAGAGGGATGAGAGGAGGCAGTGATGAGGATGGAGTGGCCATCCCATGAGTCCCATCTCAAGGGGGCTACTGGAGATAATGACTGGTCACTCATGGGGTCTATGGGGATGGAAATAGCCCCTAAAGCTAAGGGGGAAAGGAATAGCACTGCAAGCTAAAGGGGGTGGGAACAGGCCTATTTTTGCTAAGGATAGGGAGCATCATTCCAGGACCAGTGGGAAAGGGTGGCCCGTTTCCCATGGGCAGAGAGAGGGGGCTGCCAACCTTCAGGACAAAAGAGATGGAGAAGCCATTCCAACAGGCCACTGAAGACAAAACCTGTTATCTCCTCGGCAGATGGGGCAGAGTGGTCTTGCCCCTGGCTAAGGGGAAGGAGCAAACATCCCATGGAGTGAAAGAGGTAAAGGCGGCCATCACTAGGGGCCTAGGAATGGGGAACAGGCCTATCCTTGCTAAAGGAATTCAGAGATCATTGCAGTTGATAGGTAGGGAGCAGTCTGTTTCCCACTGTCAGGGAGAGGGGGCGGCCGTCTCTGTCGGGGCGTAGGAAATGGAGAGATCATCCCAAGGGACCAATGGGGATAAGATCAGTTACCCTTCGGGACGATGAGATGGAGCGGACATCTTCCAGAACTGAGCGGAGAGGAGACAGCCACCTCAAGGGAAGGGGATGGGTAGAGGGCCTGTTCTTGCTGAGGTGACAGGGCAGCTATCTCCTGGGGCCGATAGGGAAGGGGAGGACGGTCCCTCAAGCTAAAGGGACAGAGTGGCCCAAAGGAGTAGCCGTTACCCAGAGCTAGAAGGTCGCGGGATCGGGAGGGCAGGTCGTTTCCGCCAGGCTGGAGGGGCCGGGCTAGCTATCTGACAGCCCCTCCCCAAAGCTCGGGACCTCGAGGGCGGGGCCTGTCCGGAGCTAGGCCTGAGGGCGGCTTCCTCTCACCTCCAGGGGCAGCGACTCCGCCATCGCATCCCTGCCGCCTCCGCCCCCCCCCCCGCGCAAGGCTTTCTGGGAAGTGTAGTCTCGCCCCTTTGGGGAGGGGTTTGGGAAGGAAGTGAGCCCTATTTCCGTCCCAGAATCTGACCACTTTGGTCTGCGCCGGAAGTACATGTGCTGCCGATGTGGTGCTCAGTGATTGCGGTTTCGGTCGCTCTCCCTTGTTCCCTGGGCTGGGTATTTGCCTCGCACCATGGCGGTAAGGAGGATGTGTAGGGCGGAGTCCGCACCAGCCAAGCTCTCCAGGGGTTGTGAGCGTGAAAACTGAGAAAGGACATTAAGGGATACGGGGTGGGCCGGAGGGGGGCACCATCCCCTGGCCAGACCGTACTAGAACTGGGCTGGGGGAGGGCGGCGCAGGACCATACCAGGACTAGTGCCGGAGCGGCTTGGGCATCAGTACCAGAGCAGGCCAGAGATATAAATGACCTGAGATGGGCGTTAGCCCAGATCGGGACTACGCCAGCGGAGGCCTGAGGGAGGCATCATTCTACTCCGCCCAGGAGTACCCTTGGAAGAGTCGTTGCCTAAAGCTAGACTACCACGGGATCCAGAGGCGGTATTAGCTTAGGGTTGAATTATTCCAGGGCGAGCAGGAGGCGATCCTCGCTGTGGGTGCTGGAGAGAGGGCGTCAGCCCCTAGATAGGATGGACTGGAGGATGGGTGGACATCCCAGGGATTGTGCTAGGTTTCAGCACTACGGGGACCTGGCTGAGTTGCGGCTGGAGCTCTATAGCTAACCGGGCTGGTGGGGAGAATGAGGAGGACCGTGGCCTCCTGACGTCATCTCATCATCCCTCTGCAGCCCAAGGGCAAAGTGGGCACGAGAGGGAAGAAGCAGATATTTGAAGAGAACAAAGAGACCCTGAAGTTCTACCTGAGGATCATACTGGGGGCCAATGTAAGTGCCTGCCTCCTTGCTTCTATGCCAGCTTGTAGTCAGTCCCCTAGTCCTCAGCACTGCTTGGTGAGAAGTAGTGGTACCCGAAAAAGCTGTAGAAGAGAGGTCCAGTCAAAAAGAAATGAGAGATCTGGGCACAGAGAAAGTACTGACTAGTAAAACACAAAGGAAATGAAGGTGTGAGTCGTAGCTGAATTTAAGAGCCCTTCCTACCTCCAAGCACACAAAGGCTTCTTTCCTGGGCTGAGTTGCATGTTAGAGGAGAGTCTGGATATTTGGGATTCAGGGAGCAGGGCCCTTTCTTCAGCCCTGTAAGAACAACCTTGCTCATCCCACAGCCTGGCCTAATTCTTGGTCAGAGTTGAGGGAGACCCATGGTTTGGAGGTATCTTCTGACCCCAACCTGATCCTGTGATTGCTTGCAGGCCATATACTGTCTTGTGACGTTGGTCTTCTTTTACTCATCTGCCTCATTTTGGGCCTGGGTAAGTATCTCCATCCTGGGAGGTGGATGAGTGCATAGGGTCAGTGGCTGACCTTTGATACCCTCATTCTTGCTCTGCAGTTGGCCCTGGGCTTTAGTCTGGCAGTGTATGGGGCCAGCTATCACTCTATGAGCTCGATGGCACGGGCAGCGTTCTCTGAGGATGGGGCCCTGATGGATGGTGGCATGGACCTCAACATGGAGCAGGGCATGGCAGAGTGAGTGTCCCCCACCGCCAGCCCAGGTGAGCGGCCCCAGGGCTGGGGCCCAGATAGCCCAAGAAGCACAGCTACTTGCAACTTGAAAAGGGTGGAAGGGAGTTGAACTGGGGCCCATCTGCTGTCTTTGGCAGCTTTATTTCTATCCACAGGCACCTTAAGGATGTGATCCTACTGACAGCCATTGTGCAGGTGCTCAGCTGCTTCTCTCTCTATGTCTGGTCCTTCTGGCTTCTGGTACGTGGGCTGGGGACGCTCCCAAGAAGGGGCATCTAACCCTCCCCATCTTTTATTCCCTGCTTCAAGTTACCGTTTCTCTTGTAGGCTCCAGGCCGGGCCCTTTACCTCCTGTGGGTGAATGTGCTGGGCCCCTGGTTCACTGCAGACAGTGGCACCCCAGCACCAGAGCACAATGAGAAACGGCAGCGCCGACAGGAGCGGCGGCAGATGAAGCGGTTATAGCCATTGACATTGTGACCACAGGCCACTGGCCCTGGTTGACTCTGTCAAGGTGCACGGCCCCCCATGCCTGGAGCAATGAGGGTCTAGTCTAGGGGCCAAAAGCAGTCTGAGGTATTGGGTATACTTTATAGGGTCGTTGAATAAATGGCTTAGAGTGTGGCTGATGGCTGTGTGGGTGATGAGGGATGAAGCAGGAAAAGCCGGTCCTATGGGATTTCCCTCCTGCTACAGACCCAGCCTAGTGGGGACCCTGAAAGAAGAGAAAGCCTTGGATTAGCTAAGAAAATTTTATTTTGCTCTGTGAGTTCAAGGAGCTCAGACACATGCACATGCACGTACACACACACACTTACGTACACACACACACTTACATGCACACACACACAGCTAATACTGCTTAAGGCATGGCTCCTGGGCACAGAGTTCTGGGACCAGAATTCTGCTCTGGGCCTTCCTCATTCTATCATCTCTTGCACTGCAGTCCAGGGTCCAGATAGATTTCCAGGATGCAGCACCTTCACACCTCCAGGCCAGGACCCTTGCTTAGTCCCAGTGCCTGCACCAGGTCATCTCCGAGCCCACTCTTTAATGTCCGTCTCACTGCAGGGACACAATAGGGTTGGAGGGAGTTGATGGGGTTCAGGTGGGCAGCGGGGTTGTGGGGGGTTACTTACAAGACTTGCGGTTGCCGCGGGAACGCTTGCGTTCCCTAGCAGCTAAGGCACGAGGACTGCTCTTGGTCACTGACTGCACCAGAAGGTCCATGATCTCATCTGATGTATCACTGGGTAAACTGGAGCCTGGGGGTTCTTCTGGGGGTACAGTGGAGGGCCCCACTGTGGGCATGACTGGGGAGCTGCTCTGGACCATGCCTGAGGGAGGCCAGATAGGAAGGTCAGGCCAAGGTGGCCCTGGAGCCCGTTCCCCACAGCAGCTATGAGCCTCACCTCTGCTGCGGCGATTGTGTGTGGTGTCCTCAGGCCTGCTGGTCAGCAGACTCTTCATACTAGCATGACTGTCAGCATCTCCCCGGCCTGGCCCACTGCTCACTGCTACTGGGACAGAGGGGTTATTGGGGGCTTCCCCAGCCACACCTGAGAACTTCTCTGTCTGAAGAAAGAAGAAGGGTGAGCTGGGAGGAGTGAAGGAAACCAAGGAGGTGGCAGTGAAGACTAAGACCTGGAAGGGCACCCACCTCAGTGATCATGCGTCCCCGGGTCTTGTTACGCTCACGGTATGTGGCCCGCTTCTGCTGCTGCTGTAGTACTCGTTCCCGGCAAGTCCGATACTCAAGCGCAAATTCCCGCAGCGTGTGGCAGAACTGCGTGATGCGAACTTCACGGGCCGCCTGCGGGGTGTAGCCCAGGTAAAGCAGGAAGGCATGGAACCTAGGCAGGTCAGAGTGGGGAGGGACGGTGAGTCCAGCTTGTTTGAGGGAGGGTGGTGGCCGTCCTGCCTCTCTTGGGTCCATGCCCCTACCTATTACAGACACGGCGGTGCACTATCCTCAGCATGGCAACACGGCGGGCACGCTGGGCCAGGAAGTGGGTGAGGCGGGCACGCAGGGCTAGGGCGAGCTCATGCTTGGCCAAGCTCCGCAGGCTCTCCTCAGCTGCCCAGCTCCGGCGCTCCAGCTGCCCCAGGTTCTCAGTCAGCTGTTCAAAGTCCACCTGAGAAAGCAAGGGGGTGTACATACTGTCCCCCAACACCCTGTAGATAAGACACGGCCTGAGGCTGCCTCTGAGCCAGACTGGCCAGCTTGGGCCCTGAGGACACAGACATTCAAAAGCTCATAGACTAGTGCAAGAGACACAAGTCCATTTGATTTGAATGAGGAACAGAAGGTTTATTGGGGGAAGTGGCAGTTCAACAGACCCAAAGACTGGGTAGGTGTGGCCAGGCCAATAGAGGAAAGAGCATTTCTGGCAGAAGGCATAGCTCACACCCAGGTGGCTGGAGGAAGCCCTGGCATAGCAGCCCAGATAGGGAGAAGAGAGAGGAGCCAGGCCCAGGAAGCAGCGCTTCTCATGCCTCGTCCAGCCTTGGTTGATTCTGGCAGGTGCTAACCTTGGCACAGCGGGTCAGGGCAGGGATTTCTGAATAGAGGTCGGAGGACTCAGGCCGAGTCTGGAGCACTAGGGAGCAGAGATGGTGTAGCAGTGACTGTCGGCGCACCGTGTCTTTCACCTCTGACACCTTCTCCAGGTAGCTCAGCTCAAAGCCGCTGCTCTGAAAGGACCCTTTCTGAGCCTGGGCCTGGTTGGCTCCAGAACCCTGACTCCCCCTAATCTGCATGTACTCTCACTCACCTGGGAGCCATTGAGGAAGTTGCCCACAGCTAGGAGGGTAGCCAGGATGCAGCGGAAGGTGGCATTCTGTACCAGCTGTTCCATACCCACTTTCAGGTCAAACAGTGGCTCAGCAATTTCCTGGTATGGGAGACCAGGGACTCTTAGACTACGTGGTCATGATGCTTACCTGTCCCTACTGTCTGTCCCACTCCAAGACCCAGGTACCCGTTCCATGCTGTCATAGTCCAGCTTGAAGGCCCAGAGTTGTAGACGAGCAGCGAGGCCGCCAATGGAGGCAAGAGTCATCAGGAAGTTCTCGGCTGGGCCCAGGGGTATGTCAGGGTTGGCCAGCTGGGCTTCCTCAATCTTCTGCTGCTCTTCCTCCGTGGGCATCATGGTCAGTAGCTTCTGAGGATGTAGCCAGAGCCTGACATGCCCCACTTAGTGCAGGCCTGAGGCCTCAGGCATTGGTCTTGACCCGTCCCTCAGTCATCTAGGGGAGGCCCCAGAGTCTGGGGACTGCCCTGCAGAAAGGCCAAGCCCATGCCCACCACTAGAGGGACAGGAAATGCCCACCTACCAA